GGGGGGGGAGAGAAATAGTTAGGGGGTAGCATATTCACAGAAGTCTTCAATTGCCTATCTTGGCACTGGTGATTTTTACAAAAAATGAGAAAGCCATTTTCATTTAAAAGGATAAGGATAAGAATAAAAATAAAAATAAGAACAAGAACACCACTACTACTTCTACTACACTACTACAAACAATAATACATTTACCTTGACAGTGGGCTGGGCTGTATCTACACTGCTTTTCACAAAGTCTGGAGTCTGCTCTCTGGAAAGAACAGAATCTTCAAACCCGGGCGGATCCTTCTCTGGCGACTGTTCAAAACTTGCCCTTCTCATGGCGATGCTCGAGAATTTCGGCTGAGTCCTAATTTTCTCAATCTCTGTTTTGTAACGGTTCAGCCCGCCGTTTCCGGGCGGGGCGGTGTTCTCGTTCATCCCCGTCTCAAATAGATATTTACGATGTGACACGATGGGTTTCCCGATGGATTTCTGGATTTCAATATGAGTAGCAGTTGGGGCGCGGGTGAGCGCGAATGTCGTCCCATAGCTCTGTCGGACAGGGATGAAGCCAGACTCGCTACGAGAATGAAGTTGTGAAAGCTGTTGCTGCTGCTGAAGCTGCTGCTGCTGCTGCTGATCATAGGGAATTCTCACCACAAAGGTCCTGGCGCCTGAAGTGGAGTCCGACTGGTCGGCGTAGAGTCCAGCCCCAGCGCGACTGTAACCAGCGGCCCTGGAGTCCAGGCTGTCGGAGCTGCTAGACCTCTTTGGCTCTGTGAGGACGGGGATGTAGTGGCGGGCCCTGCCTGGGTCCACGTGGTACTCCGTCTCACCGCCGCGCACGCTGGATTTCACAATCTCCGCCGAGTGGCGGTGAGGAGAAGCCGAGGAGTTCATAGAAGCTGTCTTGCCGGGAGCGATGGATGATACTGTTTGGGACCGGGATATTATGTACGTGGGCTGGCTTTTGTAAGCCGTGTGCCGGGGGGAGTAACGATTCCTCATATCGTTGGCTGCTTTGTCAGATGAGTACCTGATGAAAAAGTCTCTTGACCTCGCAGAGGACGAAAGCGCGGAGCTCTCATCCAGCGAGGTCTTGCGACGGCTGCCATCGGCTGACCGCTGTGAGCTGAGCTCAAATGTCTGAGATTTGGACATGGCGGAAGGTTCTGGAAGCTCCTCACAGCCACGACTTATGCTCTCAGCACTGATAGTTCTGCTGCTGCTGCCACTGCTGCTGCCCGTGGGCGCTGCTCCAGATTTGGGCGGGAAAAACAATCCAAATGAATACTTGGCTTTTCCCGGTACATTGTACGTGACATTGGAGGCCATAGCAGGATCAGAATCCTGAGCTAGGAACCTCTGAGGCTGGGGGTAGTCCCTACCACCCACCGGCAAATTCTGCTGATTATGCCGGTTATTAACAGTGAGAGGAACAGGTCTGTAGCCAGCTGGAGAGTTTGTGTAGCTAAGCTCTTCCAGTGATGAAGCAAACCTGGCCAATTGTACAAAATACACAGTGTGAGAGAAAAGGCAAAGAAATGCAATATCGTCGCTGTCGCAAGCAATCTACTTAAGTCCAAATTTTGAGAATTTTCGATTTTTACACCACTAAACTCCCTATGAAAGTCGCAGCTTTCAATATCATCAAAATGCAGTTAGATGCTATGGTCAAGACTTACACTTGTCTTGTTTTTCATGATTCTTGATAGGAGCAACACAACAAAAACTAGTATTTGTCTCTGACGTAAAAAGTTTCCAAATGGATTTCAGCGGATTGCTTGCGGCACCCACAATATGTAAGCATCATGTCACTCGATAGGGAAGTTTGGGATACACGTACCACCACTTTCTGCATGCTTAAGTCATAAAGAGGAAATACCTCAGAGTTCAAGTCTATCTTTGATAAGACAAAGGCAGGAGGGTGTAGAGCCTGTAGAAAGTCCCCTAAACAACCTGAGTTCAAGAAGGCTCTGTTTAAGATTCATGAGGTCTGTCCCAGAAGAAAGTTTCCCTATCTTATTACTCACTTTTCACGTGAATACTATGAAATTTTACGTAACATTATTTCAACATGCGTATACTCTCTCAACTAATTTTTACATCACTATGCCAGCCACAAATTGTCATTATGAGTCTTTGTTCACTTTCACTTTTTTGAAGTTTGCTCACGCCATGGCCACTGAAAAAATGAAAGGCTGGTTCTCAAAACATGATGCTCATATTGTCATCAAATTCACAGTTCTTTTAGAGAAATCACCCAAATCTCTTCGACTCCTGGCTAAAGGATATCCTTGAACATCCCTGCTATTCCCCAGATTTAATACAAAGCAATTTTCATTTCTTCCTGGAATTAAATGACTAAGGGACAGCGATTTGAAGACAAGGAAGAAATTGTGCTTGAAACAAATGCTGTGCTAAGGACTCTGGATGAAGCGAATATGATCACAGTGTTTGACCACTGGCTACATTGGATGAACAAGTGCATGGAGAATAATTGTTGTTATGTTGAATAGATTACATGCTTCTGTAGGAATGTACACAATTTCTGTACAGTAAAAATTTTTAATTTTACAAAACAGTTTCTAGGGTAACAGTAACAGTTATAAAGCAAGACGATCGAGCCATATTTGAAAGCTTGTTTTATCAATTTAAACTAAAAAGCATGCTACCCTTTCAAGTTTACACAGCCCCTAATGATAACACACAGCTGAATGGACGTTGGACACAGCACAGATAAACAACACAATGAATGACACTCACAAACATCGTAACTTAACAAGTGAACAGAGAATCTAAAAGAAAAATTAACAGAGTTTAAGCAACATCTTTGTCATCATAACCTTATAATCTCATGAAATTAACAATACTACGAGAAGAAAACTTATGCATTAACAGTTACATGACAGATTGAAAATAGCAGAGCTACACATTCGAAGGTAAAAGTCTACTTGAGAACCACATTCCGAATTTCCTTGACCTATCACCCAGATCCATAGTTTCTGCTCTCTGTGGGACCATATGTGTGTCCTAATGACATCATGCACAAAAGGTGATATAAACTTATAACAAGTGGGGGTAGGGGAGGCAGTGCAAGTACTTTTACCCCCCCCCCCCCCCAAAAAAAAAAAAAAAGATTTTTTTTTTTTCAAACAGGAAAATATCAGTAGAAGCCAGATAAAACTGATCCTACATCAGTCTAAACTATGTCACAGTCATTTAACACTTTGCTTCCTAATCTCGCCGATTGGCGATATTTACCACCCAGTTTCTTTGGATTTTCCCCAAAATATGATGGCAAAATGTTAATGAATAGAGGGTTTCCTCTTGAAAAAGTTTCAATGTATTTTTAAACAAAATATAATATCAGCATGCCAGTGACATATTGGATATACCTGCTGTCAGGTCCAGCTGCCTCCCACTGCTGACTCAGTGGGTACGAGTGTCTGACATCTTGTTGACCTACTCTGGAAGCCTCCGGGGGGCCATAGGACATGCTCTGCCCATACTCTTGGGAGCCACCAGAGACATCACTGAAATGAAGACAGGGTCAAAACATATTTTTTTCCAAATATCAAAAGTTGTCATAAAATCAGACTGCTTTAGTTCTTACAGGTAGACTTCTTGGGTCAGTATGTGCTTAAGTTGTAGAATACCAGGTCTGCCATAGATTACAAGTTTATCAGATGTATACACACACACCACATTCCTTTACAACTTGACACCTCTAGAGGGGAGACACGAGCGAGGGGGGGGGTAGAAGTTTACCCAATTGTATCCAGAAATACCCGCATATGTATAGATGGTCTGCAGGTGCAAGTATCTCTGCACAAATCAGAAAGTGACACAACACCTCTCAGTCTGTACCTAGATTTTATGTTTAATATTTATTTTTTTTTTAAGTATCTTATCTGCCCAACACCTTAACATTTTATACTATGTTATCATCTGGCAGGGAATTTCAAAGCAATATTTAGTTTAACACAGATTGTTTCAAAAGCATTCGCAAAATTTTTGGTTCTCATTATTGACTCATTCCATGCCATAAAAAGATTTGGAAGAGATCATATCTCTCCAGGCTTGCCAATATATCGCCATATTGGTCAATCTTGGTTTCTAATTTCTTTCTTTTCTCTGGAACATTTCCTCTCAGCTTTGCATCCTTACAAATGAAAACAAAGAGTTACATACTTTTTAGACTAGACTGGCCATGAATTTTCAGACAAAAAACACAACGGCAAAAACAACTTCTGAGGACAAACATAATATGGCACTTCTCTCACCTATAGCTATGGTACTGGTGCGGTTGTCTTATGCTTGCGTTTCGAGGGGCTGGGGGCGTGGAGAGAGAACTAGAGCTGCTGTACAGGGACTCTCCAGTCTGGGACTGATACGCCTGAAACACATCACAAGAGTGAGAGGAACATGGGGAGGGCACAATACTGAAATATAGAGAAGCATGTCAAAGCAATAGTGGTTACTTAGTGCAGAAAAAGAATCAACAGAGGGAAAAGAAAAGAAGTAGATCTACCATAGACGCAATTATTCTGCATTCAAACTTACACAAGCAGTGAGTGCAAATGTAACCACATGTCAAACTGGAGGGTTTAGAGAAAAACATCATTGGGAAGGGGAGTGTGCTTCAAATATTTGTACAGTCTATCAGAAAAAAGATTAAAGAACATGAAAGGAGAAAAACAAAGGGCAGGGGAAAGACAAGTGCTCCAAGTTTAGAACACAAATAGAGACTATACCATAGGCGGAAACACATATGGAGCCTATTGCAGTCATTTAAGTTACCATTCAACAAGACAAGGAAAATTCACACTCAACAAAGGGTGGACTACTGCATTTTAACAAAATGTTTATAATTTGAGTGCCACAATCTTTTTTAAGAATATCCAGCCCAGATAGTTCTAAATAAAAAATAAACATAAGCATATCAAAAGAATAACAGCTTTACAACGCAGGAAGAATGACATACCAAATTGCATCAAAAGAATTAGGACCACATGTGGCCACCTCAAAATACCCCACTATGTCTGATACAAACTGCACCAAGGAGGCACATGTTCAAAAGATACAGTAATGACATACTCACCATCTGTAGAATGTCTTCATCTTTGGGTACCACTAGGAGTTTGATTACGGGAGAACTGCATTGGGATGAAACCGATTAAATTTGTTAAAATACTGAAAGACAGCATTGCAGCTAACGAAAGCTTCCATATCGACAGTAGTCTTTTTGCGTACAGAGAAGTACATCAACATAACAATGGTTATTTAGAGCAAGGGGGGAAACATTAAACAAATAACTGAGGGAAAGAAAAAACTGGGACCTGCCAATGGGGCACCCTCCAACCACTCACTGTACAATTCAAAACAAGAACAACTGTGTATTTGTTTGAGTAATGAGAAGCACATACACACCATAATGGCCATCTCAACCTTAATTAGAGGTGTAAGGAAAAAAAAAAAAAGAATGACAAAATAGAGACGACATAAAACAAAGTCACTAGCTCCTACCTTTGATGTATGGCTGCGATGACCTCCTGGTAAGACTTGCCCGAGATGGTGTTCCCGTTGATGGCGATGATCCGGTCTCCGGTTTGCAGACCGGCGAAATGAGCCGGACTCCCGTCCTTGACGCTCTTCACAAAGATGGTGTCCTGCGGCTCGATGCTCACATGACGCCGGAAGTCGGGCCTATGACTGGGAGCTGGAAGAACATGTCGTAGTAAACTATCTCTATAATATGCTGCAGTCACAGTGTTGTAGGAATGCAGTCCTTAGTGAAATCCCCACCCCGCCAACTTGCTTACTTTTACTTTTTACTTTTTCATCTTCTGTTGCCATTAAGCGTCAAGGGGAGATGCAGTAAAACTCCCCTTCAAAATGATCAAAACGATGGATCGTGTGGCGTAACAACCTTTTTTTTTTTTTTTAAACGAGACGTTTGAAACGCCCAGACCGCTCGAACTAAGGTAATTTCAGGAAAAGTTGAAATCCTCATGTTGTCAGCCCATATCATTCTTTTTTTCAAACAGATAAATCAGTAATACATCATATTTGTACAGATTCAGAGCATAGAACACAATGGAGGTAGGCCAGTGCAATCAAGCGTGCACTGAGAGAAAAGACAGAGATGGACTCACTTTTTTTTTTTCTCTCTTTCTCTCTGTCTATCTCTCTCACACACGTAGGCTACACACATTTTCCCTATTTCTCTAGTCTCCTCTCCTCTCCTCTCTCTCTCTCTCTCTCTCTCTCTCTCTCTCTCTCTCTCTCTCTCTCTCTCTCTCTCTCTCTCTCTCTCTCTGCGCAGGCACGCAAACAGACACACACACACAACAAAAAACCCAAAAACACACACAAACATGCGCACGCGCGCACACACTCACACACACACACACACACACACAATTGAAGCCACAGCGCCAGAAGAGAGAGAGACACACACACACACAAGTACATACTAACTCAGAGAAGTACAACACTGATAAACGCTTTACATTTCACACACGACATTTTTCATGCGGTGGCTACTTACATGTGAAGTCGTCGTCTTCAAGCTGAGGAAGTAAAACAAAAAATATATTATATAATAAAATGTAAGTGGGCGCCGTTTTGGAAATACTCAATTAAGATTTTAAAACACATTTTCTTCAAAAATCATTTCGTCACTGACTTAAACCTACACCCTATCATATCAATTTTCCCCCAACTATCCCCAAAGCTAATATATTATATATTAAGTTATGCATAAACATAAACGTGTATGCATTTAAATTTAATTATGCATTCTTTAAGTAATATAAATCGATATCACTTGTTATATTATTAACGAGCTGCCAGCGTGCATTTAGCTCGACCATCGCGAGCTTAGGGCTTAGACCTTCATGCATTGCTTTCGACCCCGTTGCTACAATCACGACTAATTGGGGGAAGTCTTGCTGTCATTTCTTTGGGATATATCTATATATATATATATATATCAAATGAAATTAACAATTAAAACAAAACAAAAAAATGAATTCCACTTAATTGATCCCCTTTGGGAAATGTATTTTACAATGGTTTACATAAATACACAAATGCATTAATACATTATTATATGCACCAATAATACACACAATATCATAAACACAGACCACCCACACTTGACTGCTGGTCGCCAACATGCAGCACCCTGTTTTTGAGCTAGGGTATCGCTTGTTGTTCAAGGAACAGAGACAACGCTGTGTCACTGACATACACTTGGCTCTCCTGAAAAGCTGCTAATTTTTAGTTGAATTACGACAGTCTTCCAGCGCAGCGACGAAGTGTGTACACGTATAATATACACTCTTTTAAAAATTTTAAAAACCCAAAGTGCAATCAAATCTATCTATCTGCAGTCGTTTACCTTGCAACTTACAGTAATAGGCATTTATTTTTGTTATTATTGGAGCCACTATTCGTATAACGCAAAACTCGGGACCATAATCCTTTTGACCTGAAAGTCACGCTGAAAGCACACTGCAAGGGAAATCTTATAAAGGGGTGCCCACTAGCGCGATCGGGTCGGGTCGGGTCGATATGATAGTCGGGGCTAGTCAAATTGAGGGTGCAAAGCGGTCATCGTGACACAAACCGATCGACTCGGTCGGTGACCTGCAAAAACAAACACGTTTGTTTTCAGGCCTGCGAATCGCGCGATCGGGTGGTTTGCAGCTGATCACAACAAGGCTGAGTCACATGTCCATGTTGACACTCGAAATCCGGTGGCGTCCTCTTCGAAAAAGTGCGGACTTTGCGAACAGAGCTACCCTACTTGTGTGAAAAAACAATAAAAGCGAAACTAACAAACTGTGCTATTCCTATTCTTCTTCTGGAGAAACGAAAGAGAGCTTCAAAATAAAGACTGCAGAGCCATCTGAACCAATGCACGGACTTCCCCGGACACTTATTTGGCCGAGTGAATTATCTTGTTATGAACGATCTTTGATAGTAGAAAGTTATCGATGTAACTATTGTAACTCATGTTTATGGAATTCCAGGCTGCCGAAGCGCTGCAACAGGGAACTGCGTAAAGGAGCCCGGGAAGCCAATGAGGTTAAAGGTTTCTCTACTTTAACTTCCAGGTCGTCGGGTACAATCGCGGCGGGGTTGTAGTGTGCATTGAAACGACGAGAAAACGACCGGACCCGACCCGACGACTCGATCCGTCCGCGTTAACGGGCACCCCCTATTACTGAAGCGGTGCGAATGTGTGCAACACAGTTCTCGTGGTAATTTCTTATATACATATAATATATATATATATATTATGACAATGTATATATATATATATATATAATATATAAAATAGAATATAATCTACATATCTAAAACAGCACGGCAGGTTCGACCTTCAACCGTCAATGACTGGACTTCCTGAGTCAGCGCAGAAACCACCTGCCCCAGATCATCAGGTCCAGCTTCCATGTCTGTGAGAAATGTTTTCCATCGCCAGGATCTCAGCCCAGACCTAAGGCCTTCACTTCGGCACTAACACGCGGGATGTCATTAAATACCGCCGACAGCTGGTCAACGCGGCCTGGGACCGGCAAGTATAGCTTACCGCCGTTTTACTACTGTGTATGTGAAAGCCTCTTTATCAGGTCGCTAAAAAAATTCTTATCATAGTTTTGGTTTAGATAAAGCAAAGAGAAACGCATAAAAACATATTCGACCATTAAGTACAGAGTTTTTTCGGCGCTCGCATCTGCATAAGGTCATATGTACTGGGAAAGAACCTGGCCAAGAACATGACAGACAGGCAAAAAACTACAGAGACAAAGTAAAGCAGTAGGACCTACCAGTGGCGCCTTTCAACCACCAGCATACCCTTCCCTGGCGTCAGTAGTTAAAATGATAAGAGAGGAGAAGGACAACGCCACGATCATGGCCAAAGGAAAAGACGGACAGACAGAAACAACAGAAGAAAAAAAAAAGGATGTAGGACCTAGCAGTGGTGCCCTCAAATCGAGAGGCCAATTACAATAGCAACGGCACAACAGCCCGGGTTGAAGAGAAACAACAGTACAACTGGCGAAACCTACGAAGCGACTGACAGAATGAACAAATGAGTGGGGGGGAAAATGAATGAACCAAACCTTCATACACTTTCCCGTACAGAAAATATGACAGTAACTTTACCACTCGGCGAGGCCGTGCCACATTTATTTTTAATAAGGAAATCCAAAACGTCCGATTAGAAACAGGTATACTTCGGGAACACTGGTGTCCAGTTTCCGTAAATTGTGTATATCCGATACTAAGGGAATAAAGAAAGACATTTCGTCTGCCAGTATGACAATAATAATCTGACAGCGTCACGTAAAACAGATGGAATGAGCATTCAACTTGTTTCGAATCAGCGTCATTCAACGCACCTCGAATGAAAACTAGACTTGCATTTCCAAAAGGGAATGGTATGACGGTAATTTGCATGCATGAACGCACTGACCGCTTTTTCAAACATTCCAAGATTTCGTGAAATCCAAGCACAAAATCGTGTCACAGTAGACAACTGATAGTGACAATAAAACTGAGAAGCGTATTTAAAGCAATGCGCGACCAATGTATTTGCTCATTAAATGTGAGAACAGAAAACACGACTAGACCAAATATAGCTCACCGCGGCACGCGCGCTGTGTAGAAACACTCCACAAACTGCGGGAGGCCAGGACCCCCCGCTGAGACATCGCCAAAACATGTCACCAGAACGCGTATGTATTGTACGCACGACCAATGAGCGGCATCTTCGAGCCTAAGTAAAGGGAAGCAAATCGACACAACGATTGTGATTAAGTGCTAGATAGAAGCAGGACCGGCAGACAGAAATAATAGAGGAGGAGTAAAGAAGTAGAACCTACCCAGGGAATCCTCCAACCACCCGCCCGACATCTCCCCGACTACAGGAGGAGAAACTTTAGTTTGATTATTTTGCTTTGTCGTTGGTCGTTTTACCTTCTGTGGTTTAAGATTTCGTTGTGTCTTCTTCTTGCTTAATTTGTTTGGTTTCACTTCAACCAAGCAAAAACTATGTGAGTGGTGGTGATGTGGGGGGTTACTTGATTATTCATTAATTTTTTTTATTGTCTTTTTTTTTAAGCTGAGGGGGGTACGGAGTCAAATTGGGGGAAACGGTGTTCTGTTGGGTTTTTCTATTTTTCTTTTAAAAAATGTAATGAGATCTGTGGGGGGGTTTTGTGGGGGTTTTTACGTTTTGTTTTGTTTTTGTTGTTGTTTGTTGTTGTTGTTGTGGGGTTTTTTAGGGGGGGGGGGTGAGGACGGAAAGAAATAGAACATTTACCCGTACACTATGAGGCGTTGGGAAGAAGCACTCGTTCACCTCGTCTCTACTCCCCAAGCCGCTGCGGTTTGTGTCTGCAGTGTACCCAACGATCTTACAATAAGAGTCACCTGGCGGACAATAGTCAAGGCCCAGTGAGATAAGCCAAAGAATGACAGGCACAAGACACTGGCAGGACTCTGGTGACGCGCAACTAAAGCACGCCGAGAGCGCGTTGTAGCGACATGAACCCTTCAACATCTTGCAGAACCTCAATTACATATTATCAAGGTGCTGGAGATCTTGTGTAGATCGCTTGACTTTGCTTTGTTTGAGGGCAGAGCGAAACACGTCGACAGAATTGCGGCCATTTCGTGCCTGGAAAAGGCAAGAAAGGCAGACAGACACAACAGAGGAAAAGAAAAGTAGGAACTCCCAGTGGCGCTCTCCAACCATCCACCTTAGTTTGCGGTACCTGTCGTTCCTTAACTTAGCTGGATTCGTTCGAACTGGCAAACTGGTATTGGCTATACCTTTAAACCGTGCAACTCTTTTCAGGTACCCAAATTCCCAAATGCCGTTTGAGTAAATTTTAAAAAGGAAATGCACATCAACACAATAATGGCCATTTAGAGCTGTTTTTTTTTTTTTTTTTTG